TGTGGGATCATTTAAGTTACATTCCGCATGGGATTTGGTTACTACAATGTATCTTTAAAGAAGGACTAGTCTAATCTCGACAAACAATGTCGGAATCCGAAGGAAAGTCAAAAGTGTTATGGAATTAGGAAGTGCACGTGAAATTGTATCTAATCATTACAGTAAGAGAATTTGTGTCCTAATGGGAATGTTTATTACTGGCTACAACTCACGTTAAAATTAGAGTTTGCATGACTTTGCTTTCGTCCTTATTCAAAGGTAAATGGTTATTACATTGTTCAAGTAATTGATTGGGTATACATATAACAAATTACATGGGTGATACTTTGCATTTTAATCTGGCATGCGACAATTTGATAGTCAGCCGATACTTCGTGACCCCTGTTCGGTGACGACAAGTCTATACCTCGACAAGTTTTGAAATAGGGGGCATTTGTAGGCATATGAATTTTATCGAAATTAAATCCGATAAAATAATTTGGACTATATATCAAATATATTTGTACAAATAAATATTATAGGCTAATTTAATTAGATTAATTATATAAGTCCAATATATAAAGTCCACATGCATTGGGCTGACCCATTTAATTGAGCCACAAACGATGAGCCTACTTCATCAAGCCCAATATGCCATCTTCCTAGAAGCCCAGTTTGGTGCCACATGTCAAATGACGTGGCACGCCAAGTCAAACAGAAGAGCCAATAGGATCATGCCACATGTCAAAATGACAAAGCATGCCAAGTCAAATTAAATGGCAAATAAAACTGCACCACGTGTGCAAGTAATATGTTCTGGCCAATCTAATTCGGCCATGTCACACTTCGATTTGAATGGTCGGAAAGAGTTTGTTCTTATCACAACTCCTCCCTTCCACAACTATAAATAGGGGTCTTCATAACATTCAAGCTTCAAGCAATCAAGTTCAAGTTCAAGAAATCAAGTTCAAGCTCATGAACGAAGACCAAATCAAGTTCAAGTCCAAGCAATCAAGCTCAAGCTCAAGAACAAGATCATCGTTCATGCCAACAACTACATATTCAAGATCAAGCTCAAAGGCCCTTGAATGTATTTACTATCGAAAAGTAGAATCAGAGGATTCATAGAGATTGTAATGCACAAATATTCAAAATAAAATACTATGATTGTTGCGATATTTTCGGTCTTGATTTTATTTTCTCGACGCAAATTTATTGTCTACAATTTGGTTCAACAATTTTTGCTACTTCACGCCCGTCTACTAGAATGCTGAAGTTTGCGTGATTGTCTTTGCTACTTCAGGCCCGTATACCTAAAATTATGCCAAAAATTGATACGCTTGTAATTTTTTTACAAAGCGGATATAAATTAAAACGTGACTCAAAAAACGAATATAGATGCAAATGCCCCTTTAAAATTGGATCGGACTGTTTGTTTGTTAGGCCCAACCTCTCACAAGGCTTTCCTACTTTTTCTTTTTATAAACTTGTGATGTTGTCTCCTGGTTTTTGGACAGTTGCGCACAAATTTGGGCGAAGTGCATTATTAGCCACTTTTAAGCTCTTTGTTCAAAATATATTCATAATTAATAATATATTTAAAGACTAACCAATTCACCCAAACTTCAGGACTAAGTATCCTGAATTTAGAATTTAGGTCTTAGTATCCTGAATTTTTGAGCTACTAATTTAAAATTCAAGCCACTTTGTCCTGAATTTCTGAATGCTAATTTAAAATTCAGGACATAAGATTCGAACTTCTGGATACAATTTTCGAACTTTAAGATACGATGTCTTGAAGTTTGAACTTTGAGGGTTAAACTTCAGGACGTTGTGTTATGAAATTCGAACGAATTAGTTATTTTTAAATACATTTTAAACTTTGGATATATTTTAAACAGTGAGCTTAAAAGTGGCTACATGATGTCATTTCCACCATAAATTTGTACCTCACACTACAACCCTAATAAATAGAAAACCTTATAAAATTAAAATTATAAGTAAATAACTGAGTAAAAGGGATTTTTTTTTAACCTTGAGAATTGATATCTGTTTGGAGTTTGGACCCGATTTCGGTTTTTGCCACTCGATTGACATGAATAATTGTAAATACATCACTCAATATTTGAACATCAAGTGATTTATAAGATACTTGTTTAAATGTGTTTGGTGAAGAATTGGTTTTTATTCACAAATATTTAACTTTTCTCAAGTGTAGTTATGTTGTTTCTTAAAGTGAAGTTTATGTTCAAAAGCAAGACTCCACAAACTTGTTTACAACTTCAAATTCAATTTTTTTTTTAATTTTCAACTTCAACTCAAATAATTTAGTCTAAAAGCCTATGAAGCTGTCTACTTAGCATTCAATAAAATTGGCCCATGTAAAGACCTATTATGCCTTGGGTAATCTTTCTCGATTCCCCCGAGCGAATATAGATCTTTACACAAATAGTCGGTCATATTTATTATTTATTTTTTCTAGTTATATACATAAATATACATCGATTATAGACAATTATACACATATAATTCATAAATTATGCATATATTATACCTCCATCGGCTATTTTTAGTTTAAACAATTAGATGAGGGGTTATTCGGGTTAATTCTTCGAGAATATACCAGCTTTACCTTTAATTAAATTTTAAGTGATTTCATTGTTTAAAGTTTATTTATAAAAATTGAATGATTACAAAAAATGCAATCGAAGATACAGCTTCGGCGCATTTATTTGAACTTGAATGAATTTCCAGAAAAATAAAGGGCTTGGACGAATTTGCCGTAATGGAAAATCAATTGTAAATATTTTTTTTCATATATGCAAATGGAAAGAGGGAGAGGCTTGGCGGGNAAATCAGCCATCAGTCAAGTTAATTTTCGTCAAAGCATGACAACACTGACCTAAAGAATAAAATACAGTTAAATATTTCTATCACAGTCATTTGTTACAATATATTTTGGATACTAAAATAGAGTATTGTTATAGAAAACATATATAATTATAATATAATATGAAAAATTAATTCCAGAAACACCATTATATTAAAGTGATGTTATAAAATATGACTGTTACGGAAAGGTCTAGCTGTCTCAAGAAACAAATGCAAACTACCAATTCCCAACTACATTTTTCACGTGTTAATTGATTATATTTCACTTTTGCCATTGCTCCCATATTCATGCACTTTGACTAAAAAGACAAAAGGATATATATATATATATATTCTTTGTGTGTGTGTGTGAGAGAGACATTATCTCGAACCTAACACTTGATATTTGTCCAAATAAGAGAGCTATTATTATAAAGAAATTGGTTGTGGGACACAAATTGAGTTCATCCATTTGCTCGAGCTATATGTCAAATGTTTTCCCGAATTCAAAGAATTTTGCTCTTATATTGTTTGAAATTTGCTTTATTTTTTAATTTGCAAACAAAAAAATACACTATTCTTCTCATATTCTACTTATGAAATTACATTAAATTTGTTATTGTATTCACAAGAAAAGAAACATCTTGAAGTGAGGCTCCATCTATTTTATTTTATATCATAATTTTTTCGTTTTAGTCTGTCCCATAAAAATATATTTAAAAATTACCTTCCTTAACAACCCAATTTTAGCATTAATGAACTACTCATAATAACATGATATCTTTAATTAAGATTATAAGATATTCAAATACAACAACAATAACAATAATTCAGTAATTAAAATTTCACAAGTGGAGTCTGGAAAGAATAGTGTGTATGTAGACTTTACACCTATCTCAAAAGAGTAAAAAAAAATATTTTTGATAGACCCTCAGTTCAAGGCGGACATAAGATACTCAAATAGTTTGTGTTATATACATCTCATTATTGTTAGGCTTACATTGTAGTATTTGAATAAGAGCTGCTAAAAACACGTTTGTTTCCCCTAGTTTTGGCTTTTTCTTAATTTTCTAGTACTAACAGAACTTGACATTCTTGTCTATTTCTTAGATATTTTTGAAACATCTTTCGACTTCTTGCATTACGCAATCAATTCAACTCCCAAAAATCATCATTATAATGAGGAAGCCGTGAACGAGCATTTTCCGAGTAGCTTCATGAATTGAAGAAAGCCACATACCAGTTTAGTCACGTTTTTTTTAATGGGTTCTAAATATTATTTTCTTATTATATTTGATTTTTATTTTTATTTTTTGAAGGACAACATATTTACTGTAATTGATTTTTTCTTTTATGAAAAGAAAAATATAATTCTTCTATATTGGCTAGTCCTTCTTGGAGGAATTTTTTTTTGACTTCTATAAGTTAAGGATCATTCTTTCTCATTCAGTAGTATCCACAATGTAGCCATATGGTTTGAGAGTCTTGTTTAACGCGAGAGCTTTACGGGACAGGTGTTAGTGCGTCACTTGGCCTCTTCGTGAGGTTGTTCTCTCGATATTCTGTATTCTCTTTTATATAATGGATTGCTCATCTTCGTCCATGAACGTAGGTCAATTGATCGAATCACGTTAAATGTTTGTGTCTCTTTTAGTGTATTTCTTTTTGCTGTCTGATTTATCATCGTTCAAGATTTGCTTTATTTGTTTCTGCATGACACCTGATTTTTCGATCCTATAAAATATTAGAACAGCCAGAGGCGGATGCATTGAATAACTAACGAGTTCAACTGAACCCATAACTTTCGTCGCGGTGTAAAAATTTATATATAAAAATTAATTAAAATTACAAAAATAGTAGTTATAAACCCGTAACTTTAAAAATATAATATGTTCAATGCTAAAAACCCTAAAAGTTGAACCCATAGGATTTAAATCATGGATCTGCCTCTGAAAACAACGATTTTAAGAGGTACTAATTAGGTTTTAGGTTTAATATATGTACATATTTAATAAATTTTTAATACAAATACATTATTTGAATAAAATCTACTGGGTTCAGTAGAATTTGTATTAATCCGGTTTCTAGCTCCGCCCTTGCGTGCGATTGCAATTATAAATAACAGAACAGAACGTTGTTCATGCAAAAAGTCTACGTATAGAAAATAAGAGCGAGAAAGAAAGAAAGAAAGAAAGAAAGATGGAAAAGGTTCATGAGAAACCGCTATCTCTTTATAATGGATCATTATCTGTTTTTAGATTAGGAGATTTGGCTGTGAAAATAACAAAGGTGAAAAAGGGATCATTAAATAATGATAATCTTTCACCCCCAACTTCATTGTTAGTTGTTTCACCAATCATACCAGGAACTTATCCAGTTTTACTCTTTTTTCATGGCTTCGTTCTCAAGCCTATATGGTACAAGTCTCTCCTTCAACATATTTCTTCCCACGGCTATATAGTTGTTGCTCCACAGGTACTAATTTTTATTATACCTACTTCCCCCCAAAACCCCACCTACTCATTCAGTCATTTTGGATAGATTCAGCGTCAGTGGATTAAAAATGAACCTATAGATGACGAAACAGTTGTTTTTCGTATCTATTATATATGTACTCTAATAAAAAAAATAGGTTTAATTGAACACGCACAACTAATTATATATTGGTCAAATGAACTCTAGATATAAATGTATTTGGTACGTACTACTTGGCGGGGGCGGATTTACATATAGAATTTAGGTGCTTAAGCGCCTATTGACCTCAACAGAGAATTTGTACACTTAATACAGAAAGTTCAACAAAAAGTTTTATGGGTGCTTTGGTTAAGTATTGGTGTTGGAGGTTTTACGGGACTAAGTTGCCAGAGATCGAATCCTGCTCCAAACAAGCCCTTTTTAAAAAACCCAATTTGGTCTTCTTCGTTGTTCTCTTCACTTGCCATTTTTTTACGCAATGCTACTTATTCTTTTTTGCTGACTTTTATTTTACCTTTTTAAAATTTTATTTTTTTACCTTATCTAATTCACTATAACAAAAAAAGAAAAAGAAAATCTACTTTGAAAAGGGACTTCAAAGCACCCCTTTCAAGGTGAACAGTTCTCCAAGACGGCAAAAATCACGAATCTTTTTTCTCACCATTTGCGTTATTCATCAAAATTTCATGGAATATCATAAATACTAATACTATGTGTTTCCTCATTAACTTAGTTTTATAGCCAAAAAAAAAAATGTTAAGCACCCATGAACCTAAAATCCTATATCCGACACAACTACTTGGATTATTTTCAAGAATCTGAAATTGAATATAATAATATTTTCTCTATATGTATGTACAATCAAACCTCTCTATAACAATATCGTCTGTTCCAAAATTTTGTGGCTGTTATACACCTGTAACAATATTGACGTTTAAATATATTTTGGCTGTTATAGACAAAAATTATCCAAAAATTAATTTTTTCCTTTTTTAATATTATTACATTAAATATAAAAAAATATTTATATTGAAAATCTCAAAAGATATAAATAGTTCACGAATTAAATGCTAAAAAATCTAATACATTATTAAAAAAATTCTTAACGAAACGTGCAAATTTTTAACACTAAGGCACACAATTAAATCTTTCAAGATTGATGGAAGAACTCTATAATTGTAGCTTGTTTCGTAGATTGCAGTCTCTTACTAATGGTATAACGCTTGAATCGGCGAAAATTTGCATCCAAATTCCTTGAACGCAATCTAAGAGCTTAGCAATTGAATCTGCATGACTGTTATAGAGGGGTAATTTTACAAAGAGCGTACTATCATAAATAAGATTGTTGCTCTTATGAAAAGGAAAAATATAAAATAAAAAAATCAGTTCCGAGAAAAACTGGGCTGTTATAGCCAAGTTCACCAGTGATTGTGAATAACTTATTTGGTTGCATATAAATTTAACTTAATCCACCACTTCGATGCAAAAATTTATAATTTCAACGTGCTCGATCAGACTAAGAATATTTTGCATTCGGTTTGCAATTTTCTTCACTGGTTTCTCAAAGCGAAGAAGTGAAAAAAGCAGCCAAAGTTACAGAATGGTTAAGTAAAGCCCTCGAATCCGTACTGCCGGAGAAAGTACAGCCGGATCTACTCCAGCTCGCCGTCTCCGGCCACAGCAGAGGTGGTAAAATAGCATTTGCACTAGCTTTAGGATATGGCATCAAATTTCAAGCACTTCTAGGAATTGATCCAGTTGCAGGTAATTAGGATGTCAAATGGACGAATTGAGCTAAATTTGGGCGAGTAAATGTTTTGAATCAATAGGCGTGTTGGTCTATTGATTCACATGAGCTAAATTTACGTCACTTACGTGCAGGTTTTTCTCCGTCCAACCGATCTGCTCCAAAAATTCTTAAATATATTCCTCGTATTTTCGATCAGACGGTCCCTGTGGCGGTGATCGGCGCTGGCTTGTCAAACCAAAGTGCGAATTGTATCTTTCCACCCTTCGCACCAAACGGTGTCAACCATTCGGAGTTTTTTAACGAGTCCAAACCACCTTGCTGTTATTTTCTGGCTAAAAATTATGGACATACTGATATGTTAGATGACAGAATTGCTGCAATTGCGAGTTGGATTTCAAAGAGTGGGAAGGGACCCAAGGACCTTATGAGAAAGGCTGTTGGAGGGATTGTTGTGGCTTTTCTTGAGGCTAAATTGGGAGAGAAAGTGGATAATCTAAATGCCATTGTTCAAGAACCTTCTCTTGCTCCCATCATCCTTGACCCAGTCATATCTGTCAAATAATTTTATCTTGTAAATGTTTTGTGTTATTGATTTTAAATAGTTGTTCATATTGGACGACCACAAAGTATTCTGTCTCTCAAGAATAAGTTCAGATTAATATATATGCACTGATAGTATAAAAAGTTAATACATCTTTATAAGTTATATTGGCCTTCTTTTGCCATGATCCAGTATTGGCTTTTCGCCGTGCTCCTTTTTTGGGTTATAGGGCGGAGAGGGGTAGCAACTAAAGGTGTGGGGGAAGTGCACGGTTAGCCACTAATAACACATGTATTTACTTTTAAACCACCGTTTAAAATGTCTTTAGTCTTTAGCCACTGCTTTGATAAACTTTAACTGCTTGGACGAAAATACCCTTCTGCTCATGTCCTTAACTTTTGTACTTAACTTCAGGACTACATGTCCTTAACTTTTGAACTTGGAACTCTAAGTTCAAGACTTTAGGACCACATGTCCTTAACTTTTGAACTTGTAACTCTAAGTTCATGACTTCAGGGCTACATATCCTTAACTTTTGAACATGAAACTCAAACTTCAGGACCAAACGTCTTTAACTTTTGAACTTGTAAGTCAAAGTTAAGGACCTATTATCCTTAACTTTTGAACTTGTAACTGTAAGTTAAGGACTGCTTGTCCTTAAATTTTGAACGTGTAACTGTAAGTTAAGGACTGTCTGTCCTTAACTTTTGAACTTGGAAATCAAAGTTAAAGACCTATTATCCTTAACTTTTGAACTTGTAACTGTAAGTTAAGGACTGCCTGTCCTTAACTTTTGAACTTGTAACTATAAGTTAAGGACTCCTTGTCCTTAACTTTAGAACTTGTAACTGTAAGTTAAGGTCTGCCTGTCCTTAACTTTTGAACTTGTAACTGTAAGTTAAGGTCTGCCTGTCCTTAACTTTTGAACTAGTATCCTTAACTATTGAACTTAACTTTTGAACTCGAACTAGTGTCATTATTTGCCTAATTGCTTTTGATATCATTGATACTAATGAATGTTGCATGAAGATCTCGTCTAAAGTTTCTTCTTCTCCTCTCTCTCCCTCTTTATTTTTTGCTGCTTATTTTACTTGGTGCCAAGGACTTTGAATTACATAGGCACTGGAGTTGGAAAATCGGAAAATGTGGAAGATAACGATGATGAAGAGCTTCAAGCAGCATTAGAGAAATGGAAGTCTAAGACATATGCTTTGACTGTCCCTCTAAGAGTTGTTTCTCTTAGTAACTCATTTCCTCCAGTGTGGCTCAAGGTTTACTAACTCTGCTCCATATCTCACTTTCTTACTTTCAGGATACGATCAATTCAGACCTTGTATGGTGTAAAAATTGTCTTAATAAGTTGCAAGTAGATATTTGTATACGTAGGATCAGAGAGAAAAGAGATAGAAGAAAGGGTAACACAATCTTTTCATATTAATTTTAATAGACTAGTGGCTACTATTGCTAAGCATTAAAAATGTTGGATAAAAAGTAAATACCAGCTTAAACAGTGGCTACCCCACACCATTTCTACGTCAAAGGGTGGGCCGGGACGGGTTAACTACAAAAGTGACCATCCGATCACCAATCCGAGCCGGTTACCGATTTTTCTAAACTGGGTTTAACCGGTCCGGGCCTATCCGGTGAAATATTGAACTGGAACGGTTACAGGCCTAGGGGGTCGGGCCAGGTTTATTTAATTTTTTTTTTGTATTTTGTATAACTATCATAATTCATATTAACACAAAGTAAAAATATATAACAAAAAAACAATCTTATAAAAAGAGTGTTTGAATAAAGGATGCAAAGGCTTTAAAATCTTTATATTTGAATATTTCATTAAGAATTTAAGATAATAGAATACAATGAAGATGGAAAAAAATTACACTTATAATTTGCACGTTCTTTTTTTATTTCAAACTTGCAAATTAAAGTTTACATTTAACAACAACTAAATTAACGAAAAAAGAATAAATTCAAAGTTTAATTATTAAATATAAAATTATAAATCCAGAACTTCAATGGTTTTGCATTGCCTTAGCATGTTCTTCATAATCAATATGAACTTCTTGGCCATCTTCTGGAGTGTTAAATTTAGATGGGTGGCCATGCGTTAATATATCTCCAAATTCCTTGTTCTCTGGTTTATCAACATCTTCACGTCCCTGATTTCTTCGTTCCATCTAATCCAATCTTTGAAACATACTAAAACTTCCAAACATTGCTTCCCAATGAGTGACGGGTGTCTCCTAGTTGTTGTCTTGCTTGACTAAATGCACTCTCTGATGCAATAGTTGAAATTGACACATTCAGCACATTCCGAACCATAGCGAAAAGAACAGAAAATTGCTTTTCATTCTCATGCCACCATCCCAACGGTGAAAATTCCTTTGTGTGAGGCTCTAATTGCTTTTGCAAGTAGAATTTGTATATACATTTTGTATGTTATATACAAAAATTATACAAATTTTATATATTTTTTTGACTACCGAATATAAATAATTTTTGGCGTGGACTAAAAGTGATAATACCCTAGATTTGCATATATGCATTGTTACTTATTTCCATTGTTGCCTTCCGTTTTAAGTTAAGGCCAACTTATCCTGTAAAATATATATAAAATTGGATCGAACTGTTTGTTTGTTAGGCCCAACCTCTCACAAGGCTTTCCTACTTTTTCTTTGGGAATATTTTCTATATATACAATAATAGGAACTTATTTACCCACTTTCTCTAGGTTTTGTAGTTTTCAAAAAGTATCTAAGTCTTATTTACGAATTATATATATTCCTTCCTTAAAAGGCTCTCACCCCATTAATAATGCCTTTAATTAAAAGATTTAATTATATTCTTTCTTTTTTTCTCTCTCTCTTCTCCTTATTCCTTGTATCCTAATTTATTTAGTAGATCTTCTTTTCTCTCTCTTTGATAGTTGTACGTCTTCAACAAAAAGCAGGTAATTTTACTTCATTGTTGAATGATTTTGGTTGGAACCATCCAATACTTGATATAACGTCATAAAGAAAAATTCTATGTTTCTATTATCCTTAAAATATTAAGAAAGTGATCCCTAATCTAATAATTTTAATAACAGGGGACTACTTTCCAGAATAGCAACAAAAAAACTTTTTTGTGCAGTTACAAATCTATACACAAATGTCACGATATAAAAATATTTAGTTGCTAACCAAGTATCTTCAACAATTCAAAAATCCTTAAACTTTAGCAAAACTATTATTAATAGGATAATGGCTCATACAAATCCAAATATGAAATAGGAAACAAACTTACAATTGCTCGTGTCCATATACAAGTAATATACATAGATCATACATTTGGTATACAATTTCTGCAACAATTATGATACAATCGTGATACAATTATGAAAAATTGTGATATAATTCTGATCTTTATCTTCTTCAAGTTTCAATCACAACTCTAAACTTAAAGTCTGATATAATATTATATTATAATTGTATTAGTATTGTATCATGTATTATTTTAGGTATTGATGTATCATATACAACTTTAATATAATTGTGATATAATTATGAAACAAATATGGTACAATTATGATACAATTATTGTAACGACCTGACTGGTCATTTTGCATTTTAGAATCCTATTTCCCTAGATAAGACTTCTCATACTTGCTTTTACTGATTTATGACTTGCGGTAATGGTTGGTTCGGGATTTGGAAGAGTTTGGGTTGAAATCGGAATACTTGGTTCCTTGAGATTGGCTTAAAAGGCCAATTTTGACTTCAGTCAACGTTTTGAGTAAACGACCTCGGAATCTGGATTTGAGGATTCCAACAAGTTCGTATGATGATCTCGGACTTGGGCATACGTCCGGATCAGGTTTTGAATGACTCGGGAGTGTTTTGGTGCCTAATGGTGAAAGTTGATTCCTTAAGGATTTTGAAGTTCTTAAATATTTAGTTTGGGGCGGGTTTTTGTGTTATCGAGGTCCGAACAGAGTTCCGAGACTGATAATAGTTCCGTATTGCCATTTAAGACTTGCACGCAAAATTTGGTGTTAATCCGAGTAGTATAAGTATGTTTCGTTGCATTGGAAGTAATTTGAAGAACTTGAAATTCATAAGTTTGATTCAATTGGCTTTAGGGGGGTTATTCTTAGATTTAGCATTGTTTCGGACGTTCCGAGGGTTCGAGCGATTCCGTTTTATGATTTCAAACTTGTCGGTATCTTCGGGTAGGGCCCGGGGGGCCCGAGCGTCAATCGGACGAGGCCCGAGTTGAGCTGGGAAATTTTGGAAGGGGCTGAAGCTCTAGGTTGCTGTCATAACCGCACCTGCGGTTGGTCAGCCGCAGGTGCGAGACTGCAGGTGCGGTCAAACCATCGCAGAAGCGGCTACGCAGGAACGACCCAAAGATCGCAGAAGCGGTCCTAGCCCGCCTGGCCAATTCCACAGATACAGACCCTCTCTCGCAGAAGCGAGACCACAGATGCGATCCCCTAACCGCAGGTGCGGGAATAGCTGAAGGCAGTGCCTTCATTTAATACGGGAATGTGTCATTTTTGATACATTTCCACCATTGTTTGGGCAATTTGGGAGCTTCAAAAGAGGGAGATTCCACTTAGCATCTTGAGGTAAGTTCATCCTACTTATTTTGAGTTTAATACTTGAGTCTTGGGTAGATTAACACACAAAGATTAGGGAAAAATCATGGGGTTAATTTTGATTTAACCATGAAATTTATTATGAAATTGAGTAGAAATCATATAATATCGATCCTTAGGTTATAAAGAACAACTTTCTTCGAAAAATTTCGAAATCCGGGCACGTGAGCCCGGGGTCGGATTTTAGGAAACTTGTGTTTAGGGTTGGGAAATTTATTTAGTAGTTAAAATGCGAACTCTTGATCTTGTATTGACTAGTTCCTACCTCGTTTAATTAGTTTCGGATCGTTCGGTTACAAATTGAGGGTTTGAGCACGTTCTTGATATTGGGAGTATGCTTTGGAGCGAGGTGAGTCTCATTTCTAACCTTGTAAGAGAGAATTATACCCATAGGTGAGTTAATTAATCATGTGTTGCTAATTGTGGGGGCTACGTACGCACGAGGTGATGAGAGTCCGTGTGTAGCTACTATTATGTTAATTGTCAGAGTAGTTTAGGACCCGTATCATGCTATATTTGCAAATGTCTATATCTGTCGCGCCCCATTTTTTTCCTTCGCGGATAGAGGTCTAGGTTTCGACATTTATGAAGGGTAATAACTCATTTCCTTTTGAAAATTGGGTATTTTAAAGAGTCTCCACCTAACGAATTATGGTGCGTTAGATCACCTAGAGCGATTAACTCTTGGATTGGTTTGCATTACCAGAGATTTAGGGTAAGGGCTCGA